TTACTAAGTCCTTAATTTATCTAAGCACAAAACACAGTTTTACTGAGGCATCTCAAAATGATCTGTACTTATATCTGAATGAAAACCTTCTCAAAAGGTAAATAAGTCTGAACAATCAATTACAGAACTAATAAAGTATAATATATGGCCAAATGTAGTTTTAGGCAAATGTAGAAAAGAAAGAAAAATTCAGAATTCAGTTATTGAAAGAATATCAGAGGAATTAAAGGTTTTGTACTTTGGGACTGGCTTTTTTTATATGCTTTTTATATAATAGGTCTCCTATTAAAGCAAATAAGAGTTTTGGCTGAGTAATGAACCTGTAAGAATGCAGCACGTGGCTTTTCATATAAAAAAAGTTATGATATTTCACTGGAGGATTCAATATTTTTAACAGATAACTTAACAATTCACTTTAAAAAGTACTTCTGTGAGTGACTTATAAAATGGATCAATATTCCACATTACAGGAAAGTGTTGAATTTTTTATGCACCTGATTAATGCATTGTTATCATCCCAGTAATTAAAAGGAGCGGCATTACACACAATCAGCATGATACATCTTACTCAGCACCTCCTGGCAGTTGCCTGCAAAAATTAAACTCATTAATCACTGTGATGCCAAGAAAGAAGCCTGGAAAAGATGAAGAAGCTCTATTTTATGGGAAAACAGTTCTCAAGTCAACATGTAGGAGAAAATCCCTTCCACTGTACAATATGCAAAGCATTTCTCTCATCAGTCTAAAAGGTAAACCAATCAAAATTACCATTTAAAAGGTAACCTCATCAATCTAAAAGAGAGAATTATGCTAACAAAATTGTATAACCTGCTATACCACCACACTGAACTGAATGAAGAGTTCTCAGAGACGTTTCCTCATCTAAATAAATGCAGTAAAAAACTAATTTTATAACAAGGTAAATATGTATTCTGAATTTTGTTTAAAGCTGTTGCAATTACTTTAATATCAATGATGCCACTGAGCAAACTAGGAAGTGTTTTTCAGGGGTCATTTATATAGAACCTAATTAGATGAACAATTAACATGAACATTTTGCAAGACTTAATCCAGGTTTTGTTCAGTAGTTTGGTCTACTATATATATTTTCTCATATACCTGCCATGAGTTGAATCATAGTAAAAACTTTAAAATTCTAAAAATTTGCAGAACTAATAAAAAGTAAAAAAAAGTAAAAGTAAAAAAATTAACATTCAAAAGAATGCTGTGACCTCTACTTTGCTGTATTTTTCTGTTACTAAAATAATGTTCTCAAGTGTGTCTCAATGGTGCCTGTAGGTCAGCAGTTGTCATATAAAATCATTACTGGTTTTGATTTGAATTTTCTTAGAGAGTTACTACCTCCTTTTAACTCTTTATAGATTTCAAGCAGTATTTTTCCATCAGTAGTTCTTCCAGTGGACAGAATGCTTACTTTCAATACTGTGACCTTCAAAGGCAACATCCTGTCTTTCCCTCTGTTTTGTTCTGCATTGAGGTCTGTGCTGGTGCTTAAAAATACAGCACACATATTTCAGCAGGAAAAGTCATCATCAGTAACCCATAAAATACACTCAGTTCTCTCCCCTTTATTAATCACATGACAAAGTTAGGAACAGAACAGTCTCATTCTCAGGTTGCTTTTGATATTTCCAAGTGTGGGAAGGGAGAAAACCCTTTGTTTCTATATGTTTAAGTTCTAGATTCTCCTAATACATTGGTGTCAAAAGATGAAAGAAAAGATGAAAGACAAGGTGAATGTCCCAGTTGTGCAAGACAGAAAACAGAAGTCTAATCTTAGGAAAGAGTTTCCAGTGCTGTCTCCTTAAGCCTTTCCCCATGATGAGCAATAGCACGTACTCCTGGCACCCTGCACAATCAGACCACTCTCCTTGGACCTGTCCCATGGTCTTTGCCAGCTCTCTGCCTTACTTTCCCCCTTCCCTCAAGGCTCTCAGGCCCAGGGATGCATTTGCTCATCCTGAGTGAGCCTGACGGCTGCCACTCTGCCTCTGCTGCTGTCGCCACAGACAAGGGCAGGAGGTCACTGTCAGCTCACCCCAGCACAGTCCTGGGAGTGTTTGGAGAGCAAACAGCTCCTCCTGACCCCGGACAGCTCCTCCTGACCCAGGACAGGAGCGGTTTGGTACCCTGGACAGCTCCTTCTGGCCCGAGACAGGAGGGGTTCGGCATCCCATACTCCTTCTGACACAGACAGGAGGGGTTTGGTATCGCGGACAGTTCCTTCTGATGCGAGACAGGAGGGTCTCGGCACCCCAGACAGCTCCTTCTGACCCGGGACAGGAGGGTTTGGCGCCTCACACAGTTCCTTCTGACCCGGGACAGCAGGGTTTGGCGCCTCACACAGTTCCTTCTGACCAGGGACAGGAGGGTTCGGCACCATGGACAGTTCCTTCTGATCCGAGACAGGAGGGTCTCAGCACCCCAGACAGCTCCTTCTGACCCGGGACAGAGGGGTTCGGCACCCCGGGCTGCTCATCCTGACCGAAGACAGGAAGGGTTTGCAACCTCGGACAGATGCTTCTGACCCGGAACATAAGGGTTCGGCACCGAGAACAGCTCCTTCTGACCCGGGACAAAAGGGGTTTGGCACCTCGGACAACTGCTTCTGACCCGGGACAGGAGGGGTTCAGGACCTTGGACAGCTCGTCCTGATCCGGTCAGGAGGGGTTTGGCACCTCGGACAGTTCCTTCTGACCCGGGACATGAGGGGTTTGGCACCCCAGACAGCTCCTTCTGACCCAGGGACAGAGGGGTTCGGCACCGCGGACAGCTCCTTCTGACCCGGGTCAGGCACCCCGGACGGTCGCCCCAGTCCTGCTCCGGTTCAGCACCGCGGACACCTCCAGCCTCCCGTCCCCTCCTGCCGGCGCCTGGCCCCGCGGGCCGGACCCCGCTCCCTGAAACACGCGATTTAAGGACGATTTCCACTGGTTTGGCACGACTTCATCCTCCCGACCTGAAGGACCCTCTGCCAGAGACCACCAGCTCGGGTTTCCCAGTCTCTGCTGAAGGACACCCCTGTGAACTGCCGAGCCGCTTTCTCGGACAGGTTGCCCCCTTTAGAAACAATTCACACCAATTGTCCACGTGCTTTAAAGAGTCACCCCAAATCCCTGCTTCTGGGCACAATTTTTTTGCACTTCGTTGCAGAAGACACCAGGCAGGCACAGACAGCAGCATCCCTCAACAGTGCCCAGCAGTCACTGGGCACCCACACAACTCTGATGGGATGGGGGAGAATCGGAGGTGAGGAAGAAAAGAAAGGAAAAAAAAAATAAAAGAAAGAAAGAGAGAAAAACTTTCCTAATAGAAGTTTAAGGATATTCTTATTATTACTATTCTGGAGCCTATCAGCAGAAATCCCTCGCACATGCTAAACTGCAGGCTTTCCTCTGCCTCCGGACTCAGAGCTTCTGGTGACCAGAGAAGCGGCTCCAGACATCTGCTGTCTGCAAGTGCAGGAAAGCGAAATTAACACAATGAGGAGAATGTGCCTGAGCCCAGCCCTGGAGGTGGCACTCCGCTGGCTCGCAGCGACACCTAGAGCCCAGCACACGGCCGGGAAGGGCCCCGTGTCCCCAGCCACACCGGGAGAGAGTCACCAGGGGGTGCGGGCACCCGGGGAAGGGCCCGTGTCCTCCTGCACCTGGCCAGGGCCAAGGGACAGCAGTGCCAGGATCGTTGCCGGTGAGCGAGTCACAGGAAGAGTCAGCTCAGGTCCCTGTCACTGCTGTCCCCCGGGGCTGTCAGCATTCAGTCACCTCGGGGAGAGGTTTAAGTCGATTGGCCCCATCACTGACAGAAGTGCACTTGTTCTGTGGACCATAAAAGTCTTTACAAAGGGACGGGAGAATGGACAGGGATTTAAAAGATAAATGGAGGGCATTTCCCTGCATACACAACTCTCTCCTCGGAGTGAAGCAGCCCTGCTGTTGTGGCTTGAAGCTGTGCCTTGCTTGGGGAAGGCTCCCAGAGCCAAAGCTAAACCCTGCTGCAAAGCTAACGCGTCCCACTCGGGCAAGAAGTATTTTTAACAGACACAAACATTATTCCCAGCTGCAGCCATTTGCTTCCCCTTGTGTGTGCTTCCACAGAGGCAAAACACACTCAAATCCCTCTGCAAACCTAACACCAGCCAGCCATGTGGAGCCACACGTTTTGATCTATCACTGGCCCTTGTTCTGCGTCTGTCCCCTTCCTCGATACCCCGGAGGAACTAGGGGCAATCGACCCAGACTAGTTTAACTCCATCGGACACAGCAGGCAGCCAGCGGCCTGGATTAGTCACTCGTTACTAAGGCGATATGCAGATGCACCCTTTGAAGGAGCGGAAGGTGCGCGGCCGAAGTTTTCGGCTTCCCCACGGGGGCCCGCCCGGCGGAAGCGGGGAGGGGGGACAGAGAGACCCCGAAACGGCTGCTCAGGGGTTAAAAAGTTTCTCTGCTGCCAGGTTAGGAGGAGGCTGACAGGAAGGCGAGGAGGGAGGGACAAGGTGAAGACTTCTGCCCCGGGAGACTGCTAAAGGGTAAAAGACGGAATAAAAATTTAAAAAAAAAATTAAAAAATAAAAAAGGGGATGGGGAGCCTTGTCGCGTAGCTTGGGGGCAGCAGGACGGAGCTGGCACCTGGCGTTTCCTAAGGTGCTGACCCCGCGCCCCCCAGCCCCGCTCCACGGGAGCGCAGAGCCGCGCAAGGAGCTCGGTACCGGCGAGAGCTGCGGGGCCAGCGCGGGGGCGGGCGGGTCCCGGCTCCGCTCGGCTCCCAGCGGGCTCCGTCCCGGACCATCCCCGGCACTCCAGGGCAAGAGGAGCAGCGCAAACACCCGCCTGGAAAGACGAGCGGACAAACCGCAAGAAATCGCTGCCAGCTTAGAGGGGCACACAGCCATCCCGCAGGACAGGGGGCGGGGAGGGGGGGGCACCCAAAACCCAACCCAAAACCCAACCCAGCCCCACGCGAACCACAGCGGCGCTTACATCCTCCTCCTCGCAGTCACTTCGCGACTGGTACTGGAAGCGGGGCCGGCTGCCTTCCTGTTGCAATGGACGCGGGGTCTTGCCGGCAGCGCCGTCCTCCTCGCTGCTCTGGGCGCCCAGGAGGTGACTCGCTTCGGGGGGAACGGGGAACGAGCGGGAGGTGTTGATCTTCCCGCTGAACCGCTGGTACAGTGAAGCCATGAAGTCAATCCGCGGGAAGCGAGGGAGAGGGAGGGCAAGAGAGCCGCTTCTTTTTTTTCTTCCCCTCCTCTCTTCTTTTTTGGCTACAGCATGCTACACGCGGGTGAGGATCAGTCCCACATCAGTGGGAGGGAGAGAGAGGGATGCTGCTCCCCGGTCCTCTGCACCGGCGCCCGGAGAGAAGCCGGGGGGTTCAAGAGAGCAGAGACGGGGGAGTGATGAGAGGAGGAAGAGAGAAGATAGATAAATAAATAATAAAACGCAATCGAGCCGTAACACCACAGGCCCCGGGAATGCTGCACCATCCAGTGTTGGGAAGGGAAAAAAAAACAGAAGAGAAAAAAAAATAACCAAAACACTCCACGAAGACGTACCCCCGATAATGGCGCCTGAGTGGATCAGCATTAAATGTGCTTTGGGGGTGTGCGTGTGTGTTTGCAAAAGCAGGGAGGAAAAAAAAAAAAAAAAAGGAAGGGGGGCTGGCTCAATCGCTGGCTGTCAGCGGCTCCCCAGGCAGAGGTGGCGGAGCAGTCGCCTCCGAGGTCGCATACCAACAGTGTGCACAAGCGAGAGGCAGAGTGACAGAGTGTGTGAGACGGAGTGGAAGAGGCTGGGAAGCCTCATTCAAAGCACGTTGCTCTTCTTGGGAAGGAGGGCTCTTCTACGATCATCTCCTTTTCGGTACCTTCTGGGGCTGGGATTTTTTCCTGCCTATTTTTTTTTTTTTTTTCCCGGGGAAACAACTCAAAAAAGAAAAAAGAGGAAAAAAAAAAAAAAAAGGCAACAGACACCTGATCGCCAGCCGAGAGAGAGAAAAAAGAGGTGGGGAGGGGGAAGGCGAGGCTGGGAGGCGGGACCGGCGGCTGGAGGGGCTCTGGGAGGCCGCTGGGCGCGGAGTGGCTCGGCCCCGAGGAAGGGGCGAGGAGAGGGAGGGCGAAGCCTCCCCCCTGCCCTGCCCTGCCCCAGCGGGCTCAGCCCGGCAAGCGGGCACTGCCCGGGGCCCGTCCCTCCGCCCGTCCTCCTTCCCCCCACGGCCGGGGAAAGGAGGGAGAGCAGGCGATGGTTGCGGCTTTTTTGGAGGTGGTCGTTGTCGTCGCTTTTTAAAATAATCCGGTAAATCGCGTCTCTTACTATTTTTGTATTAATTCATTTTTGCTGCATTAAAACGTGCTTCAGCGCCCCTCAGTGGAAATCCGCCCAAAGCTGCTCCCGGCGGCTCCGGCCGGGGATAAACAACCGCGATCGCGGCGGCGGGGATGGAGCGGGGCTGGGCTGGGGCCGGGGCTGGGATCGGGGTTGGGGTCGGGACACGCCGGGAGCCCCCGGCACGGCCTTTGCTCGGGGCCGCCGGGCCCCGCTCGCCCAGCCCGGGAGCCGCGGGCGCCGCTCCGAGCTCCGGGCGGGGACGCCGGAGCTGCCAGCGGGGACACCGGAGCTGCCAAGCGCTTGGGGCCCGGCCCGGGCGGGGACACCGGAGCTGCCAGCGGGGCACGGCCCGGGCGGGGACACCGGAGCCGCCAGCGGGGACACCGCGCACGGCCCGGGCGGGGACACCGGAGCCGCCAGCGGGGACACCGCGCACGGCCCGGGCGGGGACACCGGAGCTGCCAGTGGGGCACGGCCCGGGCGGGGACACCGCGCACGGCCCGGGCGGGGACACCGGAGCTGCCAGCGGGGCACGGCCCGGGCGGGGACACCGGGCACGGCCCGGGCGGGGACACCGGAGCTGCCAGCGGGGTCCTGCCCCGCCAGCCCCGCGCGGCTGCGGCTGCTCCGGACAGAGGGTGACAGTTCCTGTTGCTCCAGCACCAGGCACAGGGGTTTCCATAGCAACAGATGCTTAGGTTAAAAGGAAAGTGGCAGAGGTGGTGTCCCCTCTTCTGCTCTGCAAAATCCTCCCCTTTGACCTCTAAATTTGCCAGAGTTATTGGGATCATAACACACAAAGCACAAACCGGTGTTTGCTCATTCCCATTGAGAAACTTGCTGCTTTAGAGCACACAAACTTCATTATAATTTAACTAGTGGATTTTATGGGCTAAAATTCTGTTTCTAAACACTGTTCTTGCTTAAAGTTTTAGTTGTTAAGATAATACCATCTCTAATATATGTCATTTCATCAGTCTTAAAAAACCCACTTCAGTAGATCGTGTATACAATATTCTAGAGTGCAACGATTCCCCCCTCCATGATTTCAGTAACTGCCTGATCAAAAATCACTTTGTGTCTGAATAGTTTCATCCACTCCTTTTTATTTGAGCCTTCAAAGTCAGGCATGAAATGTCTTAACATTTAGATGAAAAGGGAACCTTATCTCATCAGGAGAGAAAACAAAAACAAGTGCTCTATCTCCTTCCTGATGGAACTTCAAAGAAGGAATCATTTTGATCTTCACAACTGAGATGCTGACATTTAATTAAAAAACAAGATGAGCACACAATGCTCTGAAGCAAAGGTCTGGCTTCTAAGTCATAGTGACATCCATCATAACAGAGGTAACTTTCCAAAAGCCACTTGGGCACCTTGTAACTTCTGTTTCAGGCACAAATAGATTACCAAAAATCTGGACACATAGCTCAGCTAAATTCCACCTCAAACTGCATTAATGATATTTGGAATAGTCATGGCCATATGATATTTGTAATTGGTGACAAATAGCACTGGAAAAAAAAAAAGGAACAAGAGAATAAAATTAAAAGAAATAATACATTTTTAACTTCTAAGGAAAAACTAGGACACAAAGGAATAATCAAAGAAAGCCACAAAAAGGCAAGACAAAACCACTAGGCAGGAAAGAACAACAAAGATTAAATGTCTGAATTAAAAAGTTTCAAAGAAAGTACAGAAAAAAGAAAACATTCAGCATCACAGCCCAGTTCAAAACCAAAAGAACCTCTAAGGACCAATTCAGATCTAAATACATTGTGGGCTTAATAGTTAAGAACCAAGATTTCACATAATTGAGTTTGCTTAGTCATGCACACATATATTGGACATGTATGTGTGTACACAATTCCTGGAAAAATTATATTAGGGGAACACAGAATTGCAATGTCAAATACTTGAAAAGCTCAGTAAAAAACAAACAGCCAAATGGTTCTCATCCACCAAGAGATCCTGATCATGTAGCTTTGGGCTGTGATTCATTCACCCAAAAATACATAATTACAGCTATTTAAAGGCACTTCTGATTCCAGCTCTCCCCTCCATGACAAACCAGGGACAGAAGAAACAATTTAATGCTGCTTTCTGGTATCATGGTGAGTGAAGGATGTTTGCACCAGTTGGGAACTGCAAGACACATTTCTGTCACCCTGTTCCAGCCAGAGTGACCTTGTGTGGAAGGGCTTTGCAGGCAGCTGGAGGCAGAAATATCTTAAATAAGCCCCTGCAACAAGATGCACCAGGATCAGTCTGTCAATGCCATTGCTGAAAGCAGGAGGATTTTTCTGAGTCATAGGGACCCAGATGATTGCATTAGAGACTCTGGAGAGCACTCCAGCCTGCCAGGGCACAAGTTAGCTCAGGATGTCCCTGCAAATGTGTTATGGTAGCCCTGGCTGCCTGCTAGGGAGGGAGCCCAGGGCTCCTGAGGCTCTGCTCAGGGCACCTCTCCCCTGCACCTGCAAGCCCTGGGTAATGTGCTGCTCATCTGTGCATGACTGGGAGCACAAAGTCCTCTACAATGTCCTGGTTATGTGACCAGACAGTGGCACACAAGCTGCACAAAGACAGGGCATGGAAAACATGGAGCCAAAACCAAGAAACACAGGAAACATGGAGACATGGCAGCAAAATGGCACTAAACAAGCACCACTTCAGGAACTGGGGTTGTATTGCAGCTAAAGACCTTCCCCGCCCATGGCAAGACTTGAGAAGTGAGCAATTTGTGTTATGAAACATGTGTAAAGAGGCAAAATATTTCAAAAGTACGAACATCTTGTCTTTAAACACACATCCTGCATGTAAGGAAAATCCTTCCCCCAAACCCTGCAATGAGATCCCAAGATAAAAATCAAGGCATTTCAAAACAAACAGTGTCCTCAAGCATCTTTTAGTTGTATATTTAATTCAGTATCCAAAGTTTTGAAGGGAGGTTTGATTCCTAACTAGTGACATTTCCATCAAAATAAAGTGCGTTAGTTAAGACATTTTCCCTGCAGCACCAAAGTATGTTTTACTGACATTTTTAAAGCATTCAGAAAAAAATGACACTTTTTTTCTCCCCATGTTGTATAAATAAACAGTGTGCCCATATTTCAGCACTATTAATGTAACACAATCAAAAGCAGGTCAAACCCAAGCCCTTCCGCCTTTAAAACTTTACATTAAATATTTGTTTTCAGACAAATCAGCTCAGAATAACACTGGCAAAGAAACAATCCTGCAATATTACTCCTGGACATTTTTTATTTAGATATAACTTCTATCTGTCAGAGAATTCATGCATTGTTATTCATGTTCCATTCCTCTTTCTGACAAAGCAATTTATGAGCTTGCCATCTAAATAATATAGAGTTTGTTGCAGACAGAGCTAAACATGTTTCTCGTTTTCAAGTGGTGATAGCTATTAAGCAGCTGATTAGTGTATTTTTTCAACAGAAGATTTTTTCAACAGTTCAAGTACACTTTTTATTATTTGAACTATTATAGTTTCATTTTCCAACAAGCTTGTAAAGGAATTTTACAATTTCCTGATTATTTTTTTAATATCACTCCCAAAAAGGCCAAGTTAATATTTTCTCTTTAAATGACTGTATTTATTAATATAAAACACCTGGTGTTTTTATAATAGCAACTGTCTAGGCACTAGAGAGACAAAGATACAATATTTTAACTCCTATTACCTTGGTCAGCCAAGATAAAATCATCCAGCTTGTGAATCTCTAATGGCCCCAGGCTTATGCCTCCTATACATCTGCTGCTTGGTGTCAACTGGAAACCCAACCAAACCAGAACAAGAATTCCCTTTCCTGTGTCAGCCCCTGAGGACACACTTGGTCATTCAGATTTAATGAGTGTGCTGGGGGGAGCACTGCACTGTGGCAAGATGTGACAGTAGAGCTGCAGAGGGGCACTGGACATTGTAGAGTGAGGGCTGAGTGCTCACTTTCTTAGCTCATCATTTGTGCCAGCAGCATCTCAGAGCAAGTGATAGAGAAATGCAGCATTGGCCAGCGAGTGAGGACATAGAGATGCATATTTCTCTCTGGAATCACACACTATTCAGAAAAATAACTATGCAGGCCTTATAATGATTAAAAATAATTAAAACAAATTAAAGCTCCTAAATGAACAAGGAAGCTCTGCAGGCTGGACTAAGAGAAACATTGGTAAAATTAGTTAGCTGGGCACCACAAGA